TCAAGTCTCCTAAGATACAGGGCTGCTTTCTAGCCTGTGGGTTTGCTGTCCAGATGTGCAGGAGGCATAGGGAATTTCAGGGAGGAAGCGGTGTTCCCCACTTCTCCTGAGGAGAAACTCTGAGGGAAGTTCCTTTTGAGTGCAGACCCAGTATACTGGGCGGGCAGAGCGGATCCGGTAGGGCAAGGAGCCCTGAGGAGCGTTGGAGCTGCGGAGCGAGTGGGTTTCTCTGGGGATAAATGGAGTCGTAGATCTCCAGATTCTGGTACGTGATATGTGACATGATGTGGAAACCGTCTCACGTAGTGGCTTGGATAGATGAGGACGTGGCGTCTTGGCAGGGCTCTTACAGGACGGGACGCGGGTTGACCAAAGTGGGGCTCGGGCCCCTTGGCTCCCGGTGACCCTTAGTTCTGCGGTGGAGTGCTGTGTGCGCTGCCGCGTGTACTCGGCTGCTTTCCCCAGGATGCTGACGTTGGCGCGACTGTGGGTCGTTACGCTGTGAGGGCCCGAGCAGAAACTCTGACTTGTGCCATTCACTTAGCGTGGTGTTCACTGAGCGGTTAGGACCTTTTTCAGATGTGGTCGTTACGAGGAGAGTCAGGGGCAAGAACTTCGTCGCCTCCCTGGAGTGGTGCTAATAACATTCAGCGACCAGGAAAATAGTTGGTGTGTAGTACCTTTCTAACCCAGAGGCAGTGCTGCTTAATTTTATACTTACATCTACCTCTGTGTAATCTCGGTCATCCTGTAATACTGTCCTCCCAGTAGATGAGATCTCCTTGTGAGTAGGGACTGGCTTTCAGTGCATTTTGAATTAATAGATAAAAAATGTCAAGAGGTAAAAAGTTAAAGGATTAGCATAGCTTATAATGATTGTATAGAATTTTTTCATCCAATTTTTTTTTTTTTTGCGGTACCGGGGATTGAACTCAGGACCTTGTGCTTGCCAGGCAGGCGCTTGTACCACTGAGCTGTATCCCCAGCCCCTCATTCTATTTTTAAAGCAGTTTTAAAAAAATAACAAGCATTCTGGGTTAGTGTCTTGCTCAGAATAGGTGGTTATTGACCATTGAAGACGTAGGTAATATTGCTGCCCTTTTGCAGAGGCATTGAAAGTTTTCTACAGCTTCTAAGATGTAGAATAAGCTATAGCAGCACTTTAAACAGCTGTCCCTCTGGGGAGGGACTCAGCGGAATTACATTTTTTTTCTTTAAAACCAAAGACAAAATAATGATAGACGAACTTTCTAAATCTTGTGAGAGGGGTGCGCATGCTGGGTGGGAAAGAACACTCAGGCTTAGCGTCTGTCCCTTCGGCACCTGTAGGGCCAGCGCCGTGGGCAGCGGGTGACCCCAGGTGTGCCTGTCCGTGGGCTCTTCTTTCTTTGGGCTTCTGTAACGAGGTGACCTTTTCTCCTCCCTCAGTACTTCCACTTGCGCTAGTTCTTTTAATTTCTTCCCCGTCAGAGCAAGAAAGAATTTGATTTTACCTATTAATGCTTAATTGGATAAAAGATTCTTGATGCTTCATATTTTGCTTCTAATTGTTGACTCACAGCTTTTCACATTTTTGTTAGACGAAGTTTACACAGAGACAGAGAGAGAGAGAGAGAGAGACAGAGAGAGAGAGACTCATTCATTCCTTCATTTGGAAATGAGGGTACTATGAGATAATGAAATAATATATCCGTGTTTTCCCCTCCCAAGCGAGATCAGAATGTGCTTCTCCACCAAGACAGAGAGCGGGGTGGTCCTTGCTGGCTGAGGCTGTGGAGGCCGGGTCCTGGGGACCGCTGCAGGGGAGGGGACATTGTCTCCTGCTGCGAAAGTCAAGTTGGAGGAGCCCAGGCTGCCCTCGGGTTTCGGTACAGTCACTGTGGGACTGTTTCTCTGCTCTCTCTCTTCCCTTTCGCCGCCTTGGGCTGGTGAACTTTCATTCACCCTCTTCTGTGCTGAGCCTGTTTCATTCTGCTGCCTTCCTTCCGAGCTGCCCAAGTGCCGTGTTTTATGTTCTTGCTCACTCACTTGACTTATTTACATTGTTATTAATTGATGTTTAAATTTTAGTATTTCCCTCAAGCTACAGCCTTTATTATAAATGTGTTTTATTTTTCCCTGCCCCTACTGAAGATTCTCACAAGGAAGCATGCTAGTGGAAGGTGCTTTCTTTATTTGTGGTATTTTTTAATATCAAAGTGAGTGATAACGCAGTGTAGTGCGAGGGACTGTGACCATTTTTTAACGACCTTGACATTGTCAGAAGTGTTTTTAGCTAACTAAGGAAAAGATAAGACTGTTATTATACATAAACATTCTTACAGACATGATAAAGGTGGCATATAGCAAATGACTTGCTAGTGTAGTGTTTTTGGCTTTCTATTTGTGACAATTCTGCCTTGTGAAGACTTGCTCTGAATTGCTCAGTTGGGACTTTTGAAGACTTGCATTGTGCTTTTGAAGATTTGCGAAATTGTGGAACAGTTTTGACTGATTTTTTTAGTGTAACTGGAATCTTTTTGTAGAATATGAGGGCTGGCTCGTTGAACTTCAAGATATTCTGGGGTGAGAAATCTCCTGAGTTACAACTGCTTGAGACGGTGGCATCTTCATCGCAGCTATTTTTGGAGAGCAGTCTGCTCTTTTTTTTGTTTTGTTTTTTTCCCTGTACTGGGAATCGAACTCAGGACCTTGCGCTTGCCAGGCAGGGGCTGTGCCGCTGAGCCATGTCTGCAGCCTGAGCGTTCTGCTCTGACGTAGTCTGTCTTTTCTCAGGCGCAGTTAGGGAGCGTGGAGACCCTCCTGTCTAGACTCTCTCCTGTCTTTCTCTGTTATCTCCTGCTTTAACTCCATACTGACTTTTTGGAAATATCATGCCTTTGAACCTAAGAGGATAATGTTTCTCTTGGTCTAATTTCCCTGCTGGGAAAAATAAGTGGATCCTTGAAAAGATACTACATTTAAACATTGTATTTATACTTCTTTCTTGATACTTGGGAATTTCTGTAGTGGTTTTAGTTACTTTTGTTCCTGTCTTTTACCTTTATCAGTATTGTCGCTTGGGTATCACACTGTCGGATTTGTACGTGTAGGGCTTTTGAGTACATTTTAGGTTTTGAGGACTTGGAGCAGAGGGTAATTAGTGTTTCCTAAGGGAGCCGGGCAAGCCTTTGTGGGGAAGGTCATGTGTGAGCCGGATCTGGAGGCACGTGGAGAACAGCAGAAGGAAAAGGAGAGCATCTTTGCAGGCCGACTGGGGTGGACAGTGTGGGGAGAGCGTTGTTCCAGGGAAATATTACAAGCTTCCTTTTTGCTTAAAGTAAAATCTGTAATGCTAATATAGTATTCGGAAATGAGGAGTATTTTTTTGGAATAAGTGTTCTACACAGAGCCTGTTAGGGCAGGCAGCGCCAGCCCGCAACCCTGGACAGCTGGTAATGTGACCTCACAAGATTGTGAACTTCTGACAGCATTTTTTGATCTTGAGCTACACTGCTCGCGGCTGGGCTGCACCGTGCGTGAGTGCAGGGTGTGTGGGGGAGGCACGGCGCAGTGCCGCTGTACCGCCCACGCCCGTGCGCGGCCGGTTCCGTCAGAGTCTGCACAGACAGACGCTGCGCGCGCCGTGTGACTTGGAGAGTACACTGCAGCGACTACAGCAGTAGTATTTCAGCCTAGCTGTGTACACCTGTAATTGTATGTTAGCCTACCTGTGTGTGCCTGTGGAGACAAGTGTTTATTGTTTTTAAGCAGCTACTTGTTTTCTTACTTAATTATTAAACTGGGGTTCATGTTATTTGATTTTAATGTTATGGTGAAAAGCCTAGTGTTATAATAAAAAGCATAAAGAGGAGGTTTTGTCACTTAGATGCGTTATTTATATCCTATGTTTTATATGTGGCCCAAGACCACAACTCTTTCTCAGTGTGGCCCAGGCAAGTGAAAAAGTTGGACAGCGCTGTGTTGGGAGATCTGCCTGGAAGTTGGGGGTGTGTTGTGTGAGGCTTTGTTCCTGGGCCGGGGAGTTATTAGGGCCGTAAGGAGTGTCCAGCATTTTTGAAGAGGGGGAGGGCGGGAGAGGCATGAGGTTTGTGAAGCTTGATCTCGGAGCTAGAACGCAGGACCACTGGAAGGGGAGCTGGATTTCACCAGTGCAGGCGTAACGTGCAGAGGCTCTGGACTTCTGAGGCTGAGGTGGGGGCAGAAAGGGAGGAGGTATGTTAGGGTGGTAGCTTATTGGATATAAAGTGATTAAATTTATACTTATGTTCTGCTGTGTTGTTTGAGTGACTGCCTGAGTGACTGCGAGAAGCAAACTGTCTTTTAGTCCAGAGGGCTGTTGTGAAGAAAAGGTGGATTTACACATCCCAAGCTCAGGGTGGGTGAAGGGTCCCGGAGATAGCTGAGGATGGGGAGGATGCAGACTGAGTGGGATTTCAAGTGGAAGAGACACCTTGTTTTGGTTGGGTGCCTGTTACTTCATGACAGCGCGTAAAAGAGAAGATCTCTAGATTGAAGATCGTATCCTGGAGGGCTAAGGGGAAGGGGAAGCGGGGCAATGTGTCTGTGACGCAGAAAATTCAAGGAGAGTGAAAACTGAAAAGAAGATACCGGATTTAAGATACTGGAGAACCAAGAGCATTTGAATGTAATGGTTGGAGCTGGAAACCCCAGGGCCGTACGTAGAGGCCATGTACGTGTTATATTTGTATTGGTTGTTTCCTTGCCCGTTGTTCAGTACTTTTACTGAAATGGCAGGGAGAAAAAGAGATGGAGTTCAGAACTGCCCAACTACATCCCTAGGAGACTGGTTAGAATAACTGAATGGCATGACCAGGGTGAAACCATTACTTACTTGGATTACCGCGAATCACATTAATTACATAATAATCTTTATACCTGAAGGATCACTGAAATTGATTGAAAATTTAACAAGATTAAAATGAGCATGGATGTCACTGAAAATTATACTAAATACTATTTTTTAAAAAATATTTCAGTTTCTATGCAGATTTTGGACCTCTGAACTTGGCAATGGTGTACAGATACTGCTGTAAACTAAACAAGAAACTAAAAGTGAGTATTGTAGTGGTGTTTGTATTTTGGTATTAAAACATTTGAACCAGGAGATCTGCTCGGTGGGATTGCTGCGTACGAACTGTTTTAGTCAGGTAATTTTCATCTTCGGGAATTTATGGGAGTAGCGCACCTACGAGCTGAAATTGATCCTCCTAATCATACCACAAAGGACAGGTTAACCTCTTTCCTCTTTCAGAATGAACTGCAATGCGAGCTGAATGAAGTCATCGAGATGGCCATCTCAGAAAGAAAGCATAAATCCTTTCAGGGTGTTGTTAATGAGCCTCTATTGAATTTCCTTCTCGGATAATTTTTCTGATCCTTCAGGTCTGCTCGCAGACGCTGCTACCGGGCCATGAAGGGACCGATCGTGGGTGGAGGCTGGAGGGAAGCTGTTTTCTGTCTGACCAGTGTTGAAAGTTTTGTGTATTTCCTGGATGTCACCACTGTAGACCTAATAGCCAAGTAAGACGGGTGAACGCACAGCAGCCGTTGAGCGCAGACTTTACAGACAGAATTCCGCTCATACACTCAGCATTCACGTATAATTTTGATTTAGCATGAGGATCTGGTGTCATTTTCCATACCTCTGTGTGTATTTTGGCACGTAGCTTTTTTTTCTTCTTACATTCTAAACATATGAAGAAAAGGGACACTTCTATTCCTAGTTTTACTCAACTTATACAGAAAGCAGTACGTTTTCTTTGAATTTTTAAGGGAACAAATTATTTCATTTTGGAAGACAGAGTACTGCACAGCATACGCTTCACAAAATTGTAATGCTCAGGTGTTTTCTTTTTTCTGCGAGGTGAAATGTTGCTGTTACCTAGTGCAGTGTCTTCTGTACCTTAACTCAGTGATGGTTCTTTTTTGTTTTTTAAATTGAACTTATGTGTGAAAGACAGTCTGGTAGAGAATTTCCTGTAGAATATGTTACCTTTATGAATTTATAAATTTTTGCCATTCATTTCAATGTGCTAAATGGCCATGGAATAGCACGAGAGACAGCTTTTTTTTGTTAATAGTTAAATTACATAAACTCTATTGCACTAAATTCTTCCAGGAATTAACTTATAAAATATTGTCTGACTTAAAAATATCAGTTGAGATTTTTGTAACCATCAGGGAAGTAAATAATATTCTTTTTATATAAAATGAACTTTCAGTGACTGAACTAACAAAGAAAGGATAACCAGTAAATAATTGGAGTTCACATTTTGCTTCTGAGGACCTAGGAATTTCTTTGGTTTCTCCATCAGCCATGTTAGTATATAGTTGGTATGAACCACGTGTTATAATTAACTACCCTGGGACCTAAGTACTTGCTGGAGCTGCTGAAGAGAAAAAAGTCATTATGAGGAAAATGAAGTGTCTTTGGTCTGACTCAATGTTGTACTTAGGCAATTGCACAAGAGTAGGTGGATTGAGATAAGATTTTTCCCCTAACGTACAGTATTGTGTACTGAGCAGTTCGGGTATTTATGTTTTTGTTTGATTTTCTTTCGCTTACAGAGCTTTCTTAAAACATTATGAAGGCTTATTAAAGTCCAGACAGACCCCTTGGTTCATTTCAGTGATCAGGTAATCAGCCGGGTGCCTGGACTGACATTTTTAGCTTTAGTACAACTACTGGACACCCTTTCCTTTCTGAGGGATTGACTTTGCCGAACCCAAATGTTAATTAAGTCTTGAGTATCTCAGTGAACCATGCCAAATAGAATCTCTGCATTAAGAGAAAAAGATTTATTTTACCAATGCAAAGTTGGAGTTGGTTCAGTTTTGTAGAATCTAAGTGTTTTTCACTTATAAAATAGGGATTCTAGAGCCCTCACAGGACAGTGGTTTGGATTACATTAGAAAATATATCTGAGGGAGCTTTGTAAATTTTAAGATTAAGGTCCTACGCCAAAGGAAGTTACTAATGTAACATTTGTGAATGCTGGCAGGAAATACAAAAAAGACAGTTCTCCCATGAAGTGTATAAACACCTTCTCAGCCTTAAACTGTCCTTTCCTTATGGGAAAGCTGGCGGATCTAACTTTAGGCATTTAAGTGACTATTTAGTCAAGACCAGAAAGGGATGTCCAGGAAAGGGATGTGGCTTGCCTGGTGCTGCGAGGTGAAGTCAGGGCTTCCCCTCCCCCGGCGACCCCCCTCCCCCCCACAACCCCCGCCCTCTCTGTCTGAGATAGGATCTCGCTGTGTAGTTCAGGCTGGCCTCAAACTCTAGGCAATCCTCCTGCCTCAGCCTTCTGAGTGCTGGGGTTACAGGCATGAGTCTCTGTGCCGGGCAGGGCTCCACTCTCTTGACTGCATTGTCTGCATTCTTCTCTCTGCCTTTGTGGTGAGCACGGCCTCAGCCTGGGTCTTTCCCTGCTGGCTGCCTCCACCTTGTACGCAGCGTCCCTGCCTCTTCCTCCCGGGACCGTTACTGCCACTCTGGCTGCTTTGCTTCGGAGCCCAGGCTCCAGCTGTTCGGCTTGGCGTACATGCTGTTCTACGCCTGTGGCGCATTCTGTCTGTCATGCTGCGGGTCTCCACCCTCAGTGCCCCCCACCTGTCGGTGCCCTGCAGCTGGCTGTCCTCTGCCTGAGCGTGTGGCCACTCGTTTGGGTCGGCGCCTGGCCTAATGCACCCTCGCCATCTTCCTGGCACTCCTGCGCTCAGCCCACGCTGCCTACCGCACGGGTTGCTCTCCGCACTTGCTCAGGAGGCCCTGTCCACGTGGCAAGCCCCTTCCCTCAGCCCGGTCACTCCTTTCAGACCTTGTTTAGGTGTTACCTTGAGCAGGCGCCTCCTTGCCCTTGGGCTTGCTGGAGGACCGCTCCTGTTTTCCGGTACAGATCTGTGCAGATCTCTGTTGTTCGTGAACTGTAATTGCCTCCTTAATCCTGCCTTTCTCGCTAGACTGTGAGTTCCGAGAGGGTGAGGGCGAGCTTTGTGTCTGTCCCCCGTGCCCAGCATAGGGCCACTGACCACGCAGAGTCTTCTGTTGGCCTTGCCATGCTCCCTTGCCCCGCAGGTCCCTTTTCACGATTCAGAGCGGCAGCCCCCTCTCGGCCGCTCCCTTCCTCACTCTGCGCTGATTTCTTCGTCCTTTGCTGTCCGACTTCTGCCTTCTCTGCTCTACCAGGTCTGCTCTGGTGACATAAACACAGAAGCTCATAGCTTTTGCTTTGTCCTCTAGCTCCTTTACAACTTGGAAAAATTTGGCATCGTTTTGACAGGTAACTTCATCTTTGAATTTTGCTCTTGTATGGCTTGATTTCTTTATTTTCTACTGTGGAAATTTTTATTCCTTCCAGTGAAGGTTTTATGATTTTCCCCCATATCCAGTGTCTTATGCAGATAGGCAATATTTTGCTGCATTTTTCATTTCTTAAATGTCAAAAGGTATTTTTCCAGTTGATGGCATGAGGTGGTGATTTAGGGTTATTTTAGTGTGTGACCTTGTGCATTCTGTCCCCAGGGGTCTCAGTTGTAATTATCTTGATTACAGTGACAGTTATCCATGAAACATCTGCACAGGTTAAAAATCCAAGCCCAAAAAACAAAACACCATCACCAACAAGAAAACCTGTTATTTTAAACTGTATTTGAAAAGTTGTTCCAAGAATGATGCAGAAGGTTTGTTGGGGTGAGAGCAGTTTGCTAAACTGCGCGGTACTTCATGCAAAATGTCGTCAATGATTGATTGGCTACAGCAGGAATTATTCACCTGGTATTTCAGGGAACTCATAAGCGCTGAAATTATATGTACAGTTTTGTGTGTATTAACATTTTCTTTCTGGGATGGTAGATTCCTAGCTTCATATCAAATTCTCAAAGGAATCACGGGCACAGACTGCTAAAAGCAATGGACCAAACCTTCAGAAGAGAGGGCTGGGGGCCGGGGATGTAGCTCAGCAGCGCAGCACCTGCCTGGCAAGCTTGAGGTCCTGAGTTTGATTCCCGATCTCCCCGTCCCCCCGCAGTCAAAAAAAGAGAAGGCTGTACTAGCAAAAGGGGAAGTTGCAGTAATTTAATAAACTATACCTTCTCTAAATTGAATCAGTTAAAATGATACTTGAAAAGTGTTGTAAACATAGTAAAATTGAACTGGCTTTTCCTCAAATGGTTGCTATCATTTTAATTTTTGAATTCCTTTTTTCTAGAGGAACATAAAATTTGTGAAAAAGGGAAAACTTTCTTTTTTTTCTGTCTTTTTGAGACAGGGTCTCGCTATGCAGTTCAGGCTGGCCTTGAGCTCACTTTGTAGCCCAGGCTGGTCTCGAACGCGCAACGATCCTCCTGCCTCAGCCTCACAAGTGCTGGGATTACAGGCCTGTGCCACCACGCCCGGCTAAGGGGGAGACTTTTAAGGACAGTGTTTTTTTCTTAAATACCTGATATTTATGAATCTACAGGGCAGTTACAGTAATCTTAAGCACTATTTAAGAAGGGATATAAGGAATATTCACAGAAATGTAATTTTATATATGAAACATTCCCTGGAGTCTTTTCCAGGTAAAACGGAGAGGGGAGTGGCCATCCCGCAACAGAGCACTGTATTAAAGCCCAGAAGCACCTGGCATACGCCAGGGCTCTGGGAGTGCCCTTGTTGCAGAATGAATCAGTGCAGCAATTCTGTCCTGGAGACCGGGCACCTGCTGCCGTCTCAGGAGGTTGTGTACAAGAACTCTTTTGGTACCGTGACCAGCCCACTCTGTTTATACCTGCAGAAACATAATTGAGATTTCTTCGTGCAGTTCCCTGCTGTTTCAGGTTCCTGGGGCTCAGGGGAGGAAAAGGCACTCCACTCTGGAGATAGTTGATGTGGTTTAAAGAGGCACTGAGCACCTGATGCAGTGTCTCAGGGGGAGCGAGCAGGTAGAGAGTTTGCAGGGCTGGAGGCTGTTGCGCCCATTCAAGAACCCTCAGGACAGAAGAACTCAGAGTCCCCATCTACCTTCAATTACACAATCAACACGATCAAGCATTCTTTGTAAGCAGCTTTT